AGCTTCTGAGATCTGATGAGATCGGGCTGTGCAATACTGCCTTCCTTCCCCATAGTTTTTGATTACCTGGTAAAATTTCAACAAGTAATTAATCCTTTGCACATTTTTGGAGCTCTCTGGAGGTAACAATCTGAGGGCTAAGGTGACCAAGATGATCGGACTTCCCCTTAGCGCTGGTTCTTAGGTCTGAGCGAAGAAATACAAGAACAAGTACATAGTCACCTTCCACTGGCTTAGACCACTGGTCTAAAGGTCAGTATTGTCTACGCTGAGCAACTCTCCAGAGCTTCAAGCCAAAATCTTTTACATCACCTACTCCTGTTCCATTTAATTGGAGATGTCAGTTAAGGAGATGTTTCATCACTGAGCGACAGTCCCTTGGCACACACAGTCAATGTCAGCATGAAAATGTCTTGAACAAAGAATCTAGGTTTGAGTGGCCCTGTCTGACCTAGCAAAGGGAAACTCTTGTAACTCGGTACTTGGAAGGGAAACCACCAAGGAAGGCTCTGCAGAGGGAGGCAATGGCAAACCACCTCTGCTTGGCAGCCAGTTTGGTGTAGTGGTTAAGAGTGTGGACTCTAATCTGGGAGAACCAGGTTTGATTTCCCACTCCTCCACATGAAGCCAGCTGGGTGACCTTGGGCAAGCCACAGTTCTCTGAGAACTGTTCTCTCCAATTCTCTCAGAGGTCTCTCAGCCCCACCTACCTCATAGGGCATCTGTTGTGGGGAGAGGAAGGGAAGGAGATTGTAAGCCGCTCTGAGACTCCGAGTGAAGGGCGGGGTATAAATCCAATATCATCATCATCTTCTAATGAAATACTTGCAACTGTATGCAAAATTTAATCCCAATGAAATCAATGGGCTTAGACTGGAATAACATTGCACAGGGTTGTACTATCAAAGATTACTGAAAACAAGGAAGAATGTTTGTGACTTTTTTTTGTATATCTTTTGTCACTTTTAGATGTTTGCTCATAACCTTTCATTGCCATGTACACTTCTTTCTTTATATAGCAAGTCCCTTTAAAAAAACGGTCCTATCTCAGTTGCCTACCCATACCATGACTTAGACGTGGCAGACAATGATGGGTGCTTTCCTTCAAAAACAGAATAAGTGGGTATCCTCAATGACCTGCTGAGCAGCTGAAGTGGTGGTTGTATACTGAAGTTTATCCGTTGAACATTGGGTGGATGAAAAGACGGTGTGCAGAGTCAAGAGTTCAGGCTAGAAATTTTTTTTGTATGTACCTGGAAACCTGTTCTGCTCAGATGATGAACTCCCAATGGACACAATACTCTTGAACTGTAATGATAACTGCAGAACAAGTTCAGTAGGTTAGAATTCAGCAGAAAAGCAGAGAGCTATGAATTTGTTGAAAGCGGAAAGGTGCTGGAGGGGATTCCTGGAAAGTATAGCCAAACCCTGTTATTTCTTCCTTTCGTCTCCTGCCAGGGTGATCCAGAGAATGAGTATTCCTTGACTAAGCAGAGGCGAGAGGGTATGTATGGGAGGCACACTGAGCTTTTGTGGGGATGAACCAAAGGGGGCAGGGGGCAGGGAGCAGGCCCTACAGGGATCCCCATCTGCATACAGGCACGGTGTGGGGGAGCACCTTGGTCTAGTGAGTTTTTTAACAGTGTGTGTGTGTTGGGGGGGGGTTGAGAGCACTAGAGTTCAGAAAGCTTGGAGGGGAAAAAAATACTGAGCCAAAACAGAAAACATCTGTTAGAAGTTGGGAAATGTTTTCCAAGTCAAATGGGATAAAGTGTTTCCTTTGCCAACCCTGAGGAGCCATCAACAGGGGCCACGGCTCTGCAGTCAATGAGAGGACAAAAATAGAACACTGATTTTGCTGTTGTCAATTACCTCTTCCAGAGAAGTTTGCCATCAATTTCACTAAAGCAACACTGAGCTTGATGAACTACTGAGACAACAGTAAGCAGGTACACTACAAGGGACTGCTTTATGGTCAGGCTACGGTTGATGTTTAAGAATGCCATGTCCAAAGGAACATAAAACCTGTTTTATCGCCTGCAGAATGATTTTTTTAAACAAATCAAGCCTGGACCAACTTGTAGAATATCACAGCTATCTGTCAGTCTTTGCAATGCTCTGTTTTATTTACTCGACAATACAACCAACACTGTATTAGTGTCCACTATCACAGACACAAATATAGCACGGGATTAGCAATTAATATAATGTGGAAGCCATCTTCCAAATTACTTGAAGCAGAACTACAGAGCACTCGTAGTTTACACAGGTTTGTTTTGGCCTGCATCTAAAGTTTCTATCTGACTGCTTGACCCTAATAGCTGGACGCTTTGTACGCTTTGATAAACACGCTGCTCCTGATCAAACAGAGTCCTTGTTGGGATTCAGGATCTGACCGCATCTGAACTCTAGCAGGAAAGTTCAAAGCAGGCCTGAGAGAACAATTTTGACGTTGACGTGAGGACAAAAATTCAGATTCGCTGAGAGCAGAAAACAGAAAGGATGCCTGAGTTTAGCAACTGACAAGCAATTAAAAGATACGTCTCCTTGCTAAGTCCCAGAGGGCGGAAGTGACCTTTGATGTGCACATGTTAATATCAAATAAAGTTGAAATGCAAAATTATTATGTATGGCATAGTCATCAGAGGAGTGGGCCAGAACTAGCAAGATCTGGATTCAAATTCCTGCTTCACCTCTCTGGATATCAGTCATTTAATAACGTAAGGTGAAAAACTGCTTATGCCTACAGGCTGCTGGCTTGAACAGCATTAAAAACTTCTTATCACAGAAAGCTGAAATGTTCTTTTCACAGAAAGGCAGATGTGGCAATACCTGAGTATGCAACTCCAACATACTGCTCATGTACCTAGAGCACACACATGGACAGGATTGGGGGGGGGGGCACATCAGATGCCAACATATTATCAGAACCTATTCCCAATGTCTCTCTGCCTCCCAACCCAAACACCTCCTAATCAGCCTCTCAGAATACTGAAAACTTAATCTTATAGCATTGCCAAATGGGTGCTGAAATGATTACATACACACCACAAACTAGACCCTCTCAAAAATACAATCATGTAATCAAAACACTTTGGGACCAATCAAACAATAATCAAGCCAGTCATGGTGGGCAAAGTTCATGACATGGGTTTCAACTGCTGTACATGGCTGAAAAATTGTGGAATTCCAGGTCAATTGCCACAATTTGGCCACGAGCATGGACAACCTAAAAGGGGGTTAAGACAGATTCACTGAAAATGGTTCCATCAAATGGCTACTAGCTATGGTGACGAAAGAGAATCTCCATATTCTTAAGGGAATGTATTGCTGGATACCAGTGCTAGGAGGCAACATCAGGGGAAGGCCTTGGCTCTATGCCCTTTGCAGATCCTTCAGGGCAACTGGTTGACCACTGTGTGAAAAAGGTTGCTGGACTACATGGACCACTGGTCTGATCTTTTCGTTCTGAGCCACCCACCCCCCAAATCAGTGGGCCTTAACTTGCTTCTTGTTCTTGTTTTTGCCTCACCTCTTCAAGATCAATTCATGCATTTTAGCTACATGTATCGCTGCCACCATAAGAGCTTCCCACGTGATTTCAGAAGCGACAAAATATTTATAGCAACAGTACCAATGAAAGCCGCCTCAATAATGCAGCATGGCTTTAAAAAGAGCTATCTGCACATGCGGTCTAGATACTGTGAACGGGACAACAACGATAAGGAGTCGTGGAACAGCACAGCTCCCCTCTTATGCCCTAAGAATATGTATCTTGCAAACAGCTGCTCTCACGTCTGCTCTAAATGGGGGTGGGCGGAGAGATGTGATTTTGCTGACTGAAAGAGAAGGAACTGCTGTCTTCTTTTTAACACTGCTCTCATGAATGGACCTTCACAGGAAGGTGGCTGCAGTGATGTCTGCCCCAGGTCTCCATTTCACATTGAGTACATTCATGTGTCAGTCAACACACTATCGACAAGCTGACCACAAAGGACTCCTTCCTCTTTGGCTATACCAAAGCCAGTCTTGTTTACTTTTGCCACGGTTGCCTGAAACCAGGTCAGTGAAGTGTTCCCTGCAAAAAAACTCTTCATGTTCCTTAGCACAATTTATGTCAAGCAAGCCCTTTCATCAGTTCTGAATCCTCTACAAGAGCACAGAAATGCAGAGTGACTAGCATTTGTGTCTGAGGTCTGGCAAAGCTCTGACCCACACTGGGAGAAGACGGAACACCATGAACATCAGGTTCACCATTACAAACACACACTGTCTTACTTAAGAGCATTCATGGTCCCCCCCCCCCATGAAACTGACCACAGAAGCAGTCAGTCTTGCGTACCCAAAGTGAAATACACAGCATCGTTATTCATTGCAGTAACATACACCAGCCATATTGGTGGGAACAGAGATGGTCTTGAGGGGTATGGATCTCTGCGACCCAGTCCGTTCCTGCTCGATGCTTTCAGTCATAACAAACTGGGACTTACCCTGCTGGGGTCAGGCAGATCTAAGAGAGCATTCTCACAAAAAGAATGTTAAAAGCAACTCTAAATACTATGGAAACAGAAGTCTACTGCACTGGATCTGACGTGGCTTCTACCATCCATATTTCAAATATGCAATGACCTTATCCCCCTATGCTCGACCATGTCAGCTTCACTCACCTCAGCAGGGCCTTCTGCAGGTGCCAACCTCTAAACGGGCCAGATCAACAACTACCCGTATACATACCTTCTCCATTGTAGACACACACCCCCTTATGGAATGGCCTGCCTGAGGGGGCCAAGAAGGCTCCCGATCTCCTGGCTTTTTGCAAACTATGCAAGACTGAATTAGTCAAGAGAGCTTTTCTAGGCAGCCAATAGGATAGCACTGTGCAAAATGACTCACAAAGTTACTTGGGTAAATTATTAGGGACTGTAGTCCAGTGTTCCCTCTAAGTTGAGTTAGTGTGAGCTAGCTCACAGTTTTTTGGCCTCTGGCTCACACATTTTTGTCTCAGCTCAGGAAGGACGGCTCCAGAGCCAACTCATTTATGCAGCAGCCAAATCGCTCGCTCACAACTTTAATGCCGGCAGCTCACGAAGTAGAATTTTTGCTCACTAGGCTCCATGGCTTACAGGGAACATTGCTGTGGTCTATACTATTGTGTACAGTTTGCTGGAAGTTGGATCCTACTATGTAATTTTGCTTCAGTTAATGTGTCATGGCAACAATTTGCTTTGCTTCAGTTCTGGTTTCTTTTTTTTTAATATTTCTGGTTGGTCCTACAATCCAAATCCTATTTAATGGTATATTCGACAGCCTGTCCTGTTGATTTTACTGACTCACTCTGCGTAATCCACCTTGAGTCTCTGTGAGAAAAGCAGACTACAAATAATGTAAATAAATAAATAAATAAATCATCTGTCTGCAACACTAAACAAACAGACCTTGGCTTTTTGATTTATCACAGCATTACAAGGCAGGACGGGACCAGAACATTCTCAAATCCGAAACCCGAGCCTGACATTCAGCAAGATTATATGCTTTTTCTAGTCTATGCCATTTCAGAGTGCCAGTAAGAGACTACACTGTTAAAATGCTCTCCCATGTTAAAGCCCTGGTTTACCAAGCTAGCATATTAGGGATATCTCAGCCAGCCCTACTGTCATGTGATAATGTTCCGGCCGCAGAGATAAAGGAACATTTTCCAACAGGATCTCTTGTGCCTGCAGCCTGAAGAAGTGTAGCCCAGGAAAGACTAACGGGTAATTTTGCTCAAGATGCATCTCAGAATGTGATGCAGAATTATTATTATTATTATTACATTAGACTTCTATACCGCTCAGACCCGAAGGTCTCAGAGCGGTTTACAATTGTGCTACAAGCTCAGCGTGATTCCTAATACTATGGCCACATTTCTCGAGGGGTGGGAATGCCTACCAGCACCCGGGTGGGTTTCGCTGCTCTCGGTTCTCCTCGGCGGTCCGCTGGGTCAGCGTGCATCTACTGCACACCCCCAGATCTCTCCATGTAATGCAATCCACAGCATGCTATACACGAAGCCCTCACTAGGGTGAGTACAAGAGGCACCTGAACTGGAGATAACCTGGGCTGTCCAACTAGTTTAGTCAACCTAGCCAAACTATTTCAGAAGGGCAAAATAATCTTGAGGTGTCTAGCCAAGCTGATAATGGGGAATGTTTCTTTTGAACCTTAATGGAGATGGCAAAAAGTTGGCTCCTGTGAAAATAAACTCCAAAAGAAGACACTTCACACCTTTAAAAAATCTTGTATGAAGTGATTTCGTCATAATGTCAAAAGTAGTCCAGGATCCTTACCCCTCAAACAAAACACAACAAAACGCCACCAAAAAACCCTACCCTAACTGAGGGTGCTAAGCCTATTCTACTACTTAGCTCTGGCTGTATACATTGAATTATAGCAATGTAGATATGTGAGAGGTATGCCCTTGGTTATTTTTTATTTGCCTGAACATATCTACACCAGCTCAACAGTTATAACAGAATGAAGCTATATTTCTGCATATTAATTCCATTAAGCTGCATGAATATGGAAGGAAAAATAAAACAAATTTTATAATACATAGTAAGGCTCATTATCTTCAAGAAATATGAGCCAGCTGGGTAAAAACCGAGCCTCTCCTCTAATTCAATAGGTTACAGACTCACCACTGGATCATCTAGCCCACCTCTTTACCCTATGGCAAAATAGTCTACTTACCTGCTTATCCAGTAAGTTTGTGCCACTGAACCTGTATTCTTTAAAAAGTTCAAGACAGAGGACCAGATCCTGACTAATGTTTGCACAGTGCAACAACATCTGCCCATGTAGCTCAATCCTTCCACCACCATACAGTAGCTGGAACTGTCCCAACAGAATCCTGGGAACAGGATTTCAGGTTGTTGAGGAAGAGGGGAGGCAGGGAAAACACAAACCATGGCAGGAAGTTGTTGTCCCTATGGAAACATGAGTCTGCATCCAAACCAACGAACCCAAAAAAAACCCAGTGCAGAGAATTCAAAATCCAAAACAACTCCCCCCCCCCAAGTCAGTTTTAAACTGCTACCTCTGTCCTGGGCCTCCAGTGGCAGGGTCATCTACTATCTCTCCTTCCCAATATCCATAATACAGCTCTGAAAACATTAGTTTCGCGGGGAGGGCGGGGTAAAAATCCCAATAAATAAATTTTAAAAAATAAACGTTTAAAGACTGAACATAGTGTGATTTCTCAAAGCTTGCCTGCTGGAATCCCTGTATCATCCTGGCTGTTCTCTTAGCAATCTTTTCTGACTTTTTAACATATTGAGCCCCCATATTGGGGCCAACCAGAGAGGCAATACTGCTTCTTAAGTTTGGAGGGGGGGGAGAGTCTAGTTAAGATGTTGTAAGTAATACTGGAGAAGGGAAGCGATTAAACCAACTCTGTAACTTTTGTCACATGGGCTGGCACGGAAAAAAGGAAGGAAGGCTAATAAATTCTGAGAACAACCCCAAAACCCCAAAGCTGAAAAACTGATGAAGAGAGCATAGTATGAACTTGGTACCAGCGGAATACGGAGCCATAACAAGCTGAGAAAGTGCATTACAAAGCCACGTGCAGAAAGGGACGGTAGTGAGGGCAGGGGGGTGGTAGAAACACTATGCAAGAGCAGAGAAGACTGTACGGTCCTCCATATAAGCTGTTAAAAGGCTTAGCCCAATGTTTTCAGAGACAGTGGGAAAACAAACAGAATCATTAATTCTGAGACTATGATTGAGACCTGCACAGAGCCAGCGTGGTGTAGGGGTAATTCTGAGACTATGATTGAGACCTGCAAAGAGCCAGCCTAGTATCTGGGAGATCCAGATTCGAATCTCTGTATGCTGGGTGACCTCGGGTCAGTCACACTCTCTCAGCCTAACCCACCTCACAGGATTGTCGTGAGGATAAAATGGAGGTGAGGAGAATGATGTAAGCCACTTTGAGAAAGGTGGACTACAAATGAATTAAATAAACAGTGGGAACTGACAGGCTCACCAGCAGGGGAAAACGCTGCAGATAACACAAGCCCTCCAGCTACTCCTAAAGCAAACAGGACTATTAGACTGATAACACAACTGTCCTAACAAAAGCAGAAACCTGACGTGCACTTAAGATACAGCTTTTTCCATGACTCTCTCAACAAATTAAAGTAGGAAAGGATGGTGAGCGGTGCTGAGCTGTGGCTCAAGCTGTCTCCCAATGGGCCAGAAATAAATCTAAGAAATAGAGTGCTCTTTGAACAACCAGCAGTCTAAATCTGGCTCAAATCTGATAGCCTGTGTTGACAAAGCAAATGTGACAAGGGGCCAAAAATTTCTGGCATAAGGCAGCTCAGATTGACTGTCTCTTTTAAATGCACCAGTGACCCCAGTTTGAAGGACACAACAAAAAAGAGAGAGAAAATCTTGACCGTTTTTCTACAACTGCCAAATGTAATTGTTTCAAGCCCAGTTTCTGTTACTGCAGTCCATTCCTCTTACGGGAGACATACTAAAAAAGCATGAGACAAGTGAAAGACAATGGTGGAGTCAACTGATTGTAGGGTACAACACAAGACTATTCAGCCGTACATGTTCACTGGTTCAGGACATGCCAGCAAAAAGAAAAGAAACCCACTGCTTGGAGGCGGAATTCTAAAAGTCCAACCAGTGACTGTGAATTTACAGCCTAATGAGAGCAGTGATGCCGAAGTCAGCTAGCCAAAACAACAAGAGTGCATGGCTCTCTGGAATGCCATGAAATCACTTTGACAAGCCCACGAACGTCAGGCCAGTGTGATACAGCAAACAGTGGGCCAGACTTGAATCAGAGAGGCTCAGTTAAAAACACCTGGCTCAGCTGTAATGCTTACAGGGTGCCCTTTTGCCAAGCTGGCAGTTCTCAGACCAACCTACGATTGCTGAGAGGGTTTATTCGTTTAAGGTGGAGAGGAATAACTCCTGAGCTCCTTTGAAGAAGGATGAGGTATAACTGTGATGAACTGAAAAGGCAAGAGGTAAAGTTTGAACACTGCCAGTGTGTGTGCGTTTGTGTGTGTGTCAGTTTCATGCACAGCCGAAATCTGATGCAAAGTCCAAACATCCCATCATTGCCAATAAAAGGATTCTGGGCTGTATCAAGTTAATGTTATGCTTAAACACTTGGGGGCAGGGGAATACTCAACAGCTATACCCTCTTCTCACCGCATTTTATATGGAATAATCAGGTGTTGGATTGAGTGTAAAACAAAGAGTTGTTTGCATAACAAACCTGAAAATGAAAGTAGCAGCAACGAAAAAAATCGCATCATCTTGAAAGTTTGGTAAATTTGATAATTTCCAACTTTTAGGCATATCCCATGCAGGTCAATAAAGATTAATAATGCTGCTAGAGAAGAAAGACTAGCAAGATTGAAGGCTGACATTCTCATAATCTACCATTTTAGGTTCTTGATGTCTGGATTCCGTCTCTAATGGCTAATATCATTTCTGGAAGTTGGAGAGCCTGTGTGCCTAACAGAAAGCTCGACCGCCATTCATCCAAATGTATTCTCAGCATGGGCAAAGACGACAGGGTCATCTGGAAACCATGGCACTACTTTTCAGAAACACAGAGCGAGCTAGATGATACCTTTCATCAAGCCAACTACTCCTTAAAATCCTGGAAGCAAGCTTTTGAGTTTATTACACGGAGATCCTCTTCAGGCATACTCGGGTGACCTGCAGACCCCGAGTCAGAAAATCCAAGTCAGTTTGTGTACGCCAAGCACCTTATGTAGCTGATCTAACTTAATACTTTAAAAAAAATGTTTCTTTTTCTTTTTTCTGAAACATTTATTATGAGCCTACCTGACGTTTTGGAGAATTTGCTGTGCTGGGATTGATATTCCGCAATGCCTAAGAGCAAAAGAAATAAGATGGATAAAAATTAAAAAAGCTGTGCACGGTTGGGGGTGGGAAGGCTGAGTCGATACACACATCACCCTCTTAGCATTCGGGAGAGGCAGGTTTCCGCGACAGCCAAAGATGACAAAGGGCAAGGGAGTTAAAAGCCGACAAAAAGCCACTGCACAACAGAATGAGATGCTTAGAAGTGCTTTACAGATGAACAGCGTTGTTCAGATAGGGAACAAAGAAGAGGGAACATCCAAGGGAAGTGAATATTGCCCGGCCTGAAGTTAGTTGACATAAGAACAGAATTTACTGTAGAAAAGAAATCCAAAAATTAGAAGCCTCATCTAAAAAGCATGCTGACAGAGTGAACATATTGGCTTAAGAATTAATAGCAAAGCAGTTATAGGAGAAGCTCAGACATTTCAGCCCAAGAAGTCTTTAAGTCTTAGGCCCTTCTTCAGAAGAGGGCGTCTTCCCTCCTTAGGAGATGAGCTGCACCCCACAAAGATAATCCAGTATACACCAAGGTAGAGTCATTCCTAAAAATACGCCTCCAGAGCTAGAGCCTCCAAGATCAGAGCAGAAAAAGCAAGAGGCGATGAAGGGGAAGAGCCCAAGGAAAAGATTTCCACGAGCACAAAAATGGATCCGTCACCCAAAGGGGGGGAGGGGAGAAGAAGAGGGTCTTTAAAAGGATTCCCTCAAAGAGAAGTTAGGATGCTGAGATCCCCCATAACCTTGATAAAGTGCTGATGCCAGACATTTGGGAACTAAAGGCTAATAAATGTAATTAGCAAGAGATCTAGGACAGGAAGCACGGACAGAGAACAACAGTTCTAGAAAGGAAGCCTTGCTGATTCTTGAGTTCATGCTTCCAGGGTTATATATGCTCGTTGGGTTTAAAAAAGCAAAAGCAGCAAAATCATAATTTATATTTGCACCATTAGGGAAAACCATTAAAAAGTTTTTAAGTGTTCATTAAAAGCCAAGCCAAAAGCCTGTTAATACAGCTTGTTTTTAAGACAGTTATGCTCTTAAGAGTTACTTCCAACAGCATAAACATTGCTCTAAAATGGATGAACCCCCCACCCCCATTTCCCCATCACCTAGATCACACAGATAAGCTGGGTATAGTGGGATGGATACGTAGAATTACACTACATTCACATGCACTCTCTCCTCTTGGAATCCTTCTCCCAGTCAAGCCAACCATAGACTTGGCAAATGGAATGAGACATTTATGAGAAAGCAAAATGATTATTTATTACTGTCAGGTGACTCTGTAAAACAAACGGATGCTGTCCAATGTATGTCCAGGATGCCCAAGTGAAGGAAATCTACAGTTACAAATTCTCATGTACCAAGTTGGACTCTTTCAAGCTAAAGCATGTAAAAAAAACCCATGGGGGATTCAGCACCACAAGATGGCATGAGGTGGCATTTTTAGGAAGACTGGATACATTCATTAAAAGACAGGTGGAAAATGGCTCAACACAGGCAGTGTATTCCTCTGAATGCCAGAGGCTGGAGACAAAACGGATAAAGTCACCTTCTTCATGCCCACCTGACAAGCCTTCAGACGCCTCATGCTGGCTGCTGAAGGGAGAAGGCTGCTGGACAAACTGAAACTTTTGGTCTGTCTCACTATGTCCATATGGTGTTACAGAAAGTCACTGCTTGTTTATGCACGGCCTGGGAAATGCCTACAAATAAGCAAAAGACTCGAAGCGCGCACACACACAAAAGAACCCCAAAAACCAGGTTACAAGTTCTTCCGGCTTCCCGAGAGGAGACTTGGCCATCTGCATCCGTGCAGGGGGTTAATATTCTTGAGAAGCAGCCTGGCATCTCTTGGACTTGACAAGACGCCCGCGTGGCAGGACTGAAAAATTATGCTCGAAGTGACAGCAAAGCACGTCAGTGCTGGGAACCAACCTCTGTGCCAGGGACTGCGTCAGTAATGTGAAAAGGTTATGGCCCCCGAGATGCACTCGTGGTGGTGTCAGCCCTGTTTGCGTGGGAAATTTAATGGGGAGGGAGGGGGGGAAGAGTTCTTTAGGACAGACAAGGCTAAATCTTCCTGAAGAGGGTGCTTCGCCCTCCCCTCCAATCCACTGATGCTAGAAGGAAGCACAAGGCAACGAGCACACTGGGCATGCACACACAGCAGAATATTAAGAGTGGAAGCGTCTTTCTAACCTGTGGCCTCACCTGCCGCAGCAGTTCTTGGTGTTTCAGCCGCAGCCGCTCTTTCTCCACCTGCAGCTGCTGCAGCCTCATCTGCTGCTGCTGATTGGAGCTGCCGCTTCCCAGCACGCCACCGGGTGGACTCTGAGGGGCTAATGGAGGCGGCTGCTTCATTGGAGCACTTTGGCTGATTCTCTGGCTCATAGCTGGGGAGACAAAACAAGCAGGGGCGTTAAACCAACTCGAACAATAGTGTGGAAAGCGACACTCTATGGCACACTTCAAATCCAGATCCAAGACAGGCATCCAAACAGAGGACAGCAATGGTGTTCCCCACAAGCCAAAGAGCGCACAAGAGGACTGGCTACAGTTCAGTGTAATGCTAAACAGAATTACCACCTATATGGTATAAGTTGGCTTAGGGTTAGATTTGAGTCCATAAGCACCTTAAGAGACCACCAAGGTTTTTAGGATGCAAGCTTTCGACAGTCAACGCTCCCTTTGTCAGTTAAGATGGTTTAGGGTGATATTGCATGGCTCTGGTGGCAGAAAATGCCATTAAGCTGCAACTGACTGGCAGTGACCCATAAGGTTTTCATGGCCAGAGACATTCAGGGCTGGTTTGCCATTGCATGCCCCTGCGTAGCAACCCTGGTCTTCCTCGGTGGTCTCTCGTCTAAATGTTAGCCAGGGCCACCCCTACTTAGCGTCTGAGATCTGACAAGGTCTGTCTAGCCTGGGCTATCTAAGACAGGGCACCGTATGGCTTTGTTTTGCCACTTTTCATTTGAGCAACTGGTATAAAAACGCTGTCTGCCATAAAGAGTAACAGAAATAAAGACAGCTGAAGGTGCGAAATAAAAAGTTGGAAGCAGGTTCCTACTGAAAAACGTGCAGTGTGGTAATAAGGCTTGGAAGACCCAAAATCCTTTGCAGATGTAGCAGGACACGTAAGAAACAAAAAGAAACCCTCACTGAAGGCTGGGAACTTAGGAAATATCTGAGATCTGACAAGGTCTGTCTAGCCTGGGCTATCTAGGACAGGGCACCGTATGGCTTTGTTTTGCCACTTTTCATTTGAGCAACTGGTATAAAAACGCTGTCTGCCATAAAGAGAAACAGAAATAAAGACAGCTGAAGGTGCGAAATAAAAGTTGGAAGCAGGTTCCTACTGGAAAACGTGAAGCTTGGAAGACCCAAAATCCTTTGCAGATCTAGCAGGACACGTAAGAAACAAAAAGGAACCCTCATTGAAGGCTGGCAAGTTAGGAAACAGAAGAACTCTGTGGGAGCCTCCACCTTGGTTTCAGTTTGTGTTGCCTCACCACCACGCCTGGAACTCAGTACTTTAACCAAATGGGGTCACCAATTGCTGAATTTTTTTGCTAGATAACAGGGATCACGATCTGGAAAAGCAAGTGCCTGGACTACACTGTTTCCCAAGTCATTTCTGAAGCTGCGGTGTGTGTTGGGGAGTAGAAAGGGGGAGTTCAAGAGAAGTTACTAATGCTGTAGAAGGAGTGACTTGATATGGGTCTATACAATTCTAAAGCCGCTCATCAAATCACAGCCACGGTGTATATTGCTGTTTTAATGTTTTTGTGATAAGCTTTGCTATGCACTGCTGACGACAGTCACCTCTCTGTAATAAAGAGGTGCTAATGAACCAAGTTTTGCCACACTGAAAGCAAAAATGACCCAGGCAAAGACGGGAACAGGACACTGAGAGGACGGCTCCCACTAAGACTTCTTGGAAGTCTGTTTAAACTAAGCAAGACCTTGGATGGCAAACTTGCTCTCCCGATTACACAGTTTAGCCAACTATGCCACTCCTGGGTCACAGAAACAAAATACATTTATGATAAATATAGGCTCATATTGAACTTGGTGCCAGTTTCCATTTCAGTTGTAAATAGTCAAGTATCAGCCAGCCCCACTGGGCTGTAGATCAAACCCAGGGGATATTTATAGCTGGGTGGCAAAAATAACCTAACACTTTCAATTCCCTGAGCCTATTTCCATCCAGTTTCAAAATGCACTAAAATTAACATTTATGAGCACAATTCCTGCAGGAAAGTCTCCTACCAAAAGACAAATGGAAGCAAAGGGAGTGGCCCAAGAGTGCTTCTTGGCCTCAGAGCTCACTCCATCTGCAAAACAAAGTCTGAGCCCAGTGGCACTTTTAAGACCAACACAGTTTTATTCTGGGCATAAGAGAAGGTGCTGTTCTGATGGCAATTTTGAATGCTTCCTTAAAAAAGCAATTGGGTAGCAATAGGCAGAAAATAAAAAAAACATTAACTGGCTTTAAAGCACAAAAAAGGAGAATGTTTTTTTGGGGGGGGTTTAATACAGAAGAGAATATGCCCTGCAAAAATCTGACGCATTAAGAGGGACTTCCAGTCTTTGATCTGAAACAGAAGCACAACAAGGAAAATAAAGGGCTCTCTCCATAGTATTGCAAACTCTTAATGGACAGCTAGAGATGTTGTCTGGGAAAATGCATTTGTTTGCATTATATAACCCTGCATTCAAAAGGGCAGGCAACACTCTTCATTTAATTCTTAAAGCTGCTGAGAGAGGAAGGGGTGGGGTGGGGATCCATGACTAATGGAGGAGAGGGATACAAGCAATGTTTTTAGCTTCACAGCCTTCACATGTGCACCCTTGTTTTTGTGACTCTTCAATGCTTTTTTTTAAGGGGGGGTTCTTAATGATCTTTAAATACTTTGCTCTGCCTGAACCAAGAAGAAAATAAAAGGCAAAATAGCTGCCTTTATCCGCTAGAGCCAGGATTTACCAGTTTCCTGTCCCTAACTTTCATGGATATCAGGGAAGCATTTAATATGGGGCTCTACACCCACATGCAGGGCAAGTAGCAAGAGACCTCACAGGCAGACCAGGAACAAATAGCTCTTTGTTTCGGAAAGGAAAGAGAGGGATTTAGGAGGAAGGAGGGATTTAGAACAAGGGGGAAGGGGAACTGTACTACATAACAAAGAAAAACCCCAAACCCTTTACATTTATACTTCTTGAAACCACTAGACAATTATTTCATTTTGATGTAGACTGCATATTTTTGGACAGAGTGCTGTCTAGTCAATTTTCTACCGTATAGCCGAGCGTTAGCTACAGTGCACACCCCCCCCCTGTTTTGTGAGCGGCCCAATCACTCAGGACCAAACTACAAATATGTACTTAGACCAGGGTTGCCAGCTCTGGGTTCAGAATTACCTGGAGATCTGTGGGTAAAGCCTGGGAGAGTGGGGTTTAGGGAGGCGAGGAACCTTGATAGGCTATAACTGCCATCCAGTCCATTTTCCAAAGCATCCACCTTTTCTAAGAGATGTAGAATAAATGTTTTCAATAAATAAGTTATCTATGTAGTCTGGAGGTCAGTTGTAATTCCACGAGATCCCCAGCCCCGACCTGTGGACTGGCAACCCTAATAGGCAGAGGTCATTTCGGGGGGGATCGCGGGGGATCGCAGTTCCCCCAGGTGAGGTACGGGGGGCGGGGCACATGACGAAGCCCCACCCCCTGCTTCCGGCCACCCCGCTTCCACCCCTCATTCAGCCAGGAGGAGGCAGGAGAAGAGGGAGGGTAAGTTGCTTCCTCCCTGCCTCTCCCCACCCCTGCCTGCCTGGGGCCAGGGAGGGCCTTCGCGGGGCTTCCTTGCACTCCCGCCGGCCTTGCAGGTCCACAGCCGGGCCCCTCATGGGCGGCCGGGACCGTTGGGGGCAGGGGTGGTGGTGGCCTTATGACACATTTCCGGTGATGTCGGGGTGTGGCCTTATGACACACTTCCGGTGATGTCAGGAATGAGTTATGCTAATGAGTCCCGCTAGCTCTTTTTCTACGAAACGACCCCTGCTAATAGGCATCTCTTAACGCTTTTCTATAAAAAGGGGAATGATCAAGTATTTAAGCCCCCTTCCCCAAGACCAGAAAGCAACTAAGTACTGAGGTCTATAAGCAGTTAAGTCATAAACGAGATTGTCGGCTCGGTTTATTAGACAAAGAACCAGGTATTCACTTCCTCTCCCTTGCCTTGAGTCTCAGAGATGGGTTAAGGCTGGAAAACCAAAATCGATCTGCAGAGACTGTTGCAGCTTCAAGAGGTGGGACTTTACCACACTGTCGTCATCCAGTGTGGCATTTGGACATTTATTTACTTATTTGCTATCAAATCACAGCTAACTTAATGGTGACTCCATAGAGTTTTCAAGGCAAGAGACATTCAAAGGTGGTTTGCCATTGCCTGCCTCTGCAAAGTGACTCTGGTATTCCTCGGTAGTCCCCCCTCCAAATACTCACTGGGGATCACCCTGCTTCGCTTTCGAGATCTAATGTGATCAGACTAGCTTGGCTATTCAGGTCAGGGCCTTGGGCAATCTACGTGTTGTGAAATCATGTGATACAGGCCCCTCCCCCCAAGACTACAATCCACCCAATGTGGAGTAGTGGTTGGAATGTCCAACTAGGATCTAGGACACCCAGGTTTGAATCCCCATCCTGCTGTGGAAACTTGCTGGGTGACCTCTGGCCAGTCACACCCTCTCAGCCTAACCTACCTCACATGGCTGTTGTGAGGAGAGAATGGAGGAGAGGACTGTACACTGCTTTGGGTCACCACTGGGGTGAAAGGCAGTTTGTACATGAAACAGACAAGTAGACCACTACATGACATAACTGGATCAAGAACCCTGAGCAGTTTATACAACAAGCAGAAGAGTTCTAAGCCTACCTTGCCCTGCATATGCTGTTTTCAATACATTTATATATTTAAAGGTGCTACAAGAATGTTTATGACCATTCATGTCTTCAGCAATGCAAGGCTGAAAAACACGATCAATAAAACATTTGATACTTTTCAAATGGGGAGTAAACGTAGGCAGGTCCTTGGAAATTTTGCTTCTCTTTTACATAAAGCTACCACTGTATGCATAATAAAGAACTGGTCCCCTTGTATTCTCCACAAAGGAAGTATAACAGAATTTATGACTGAGCAGTTCAAAGTTGGGGTACCATGCTGAAACAGAAACTTTCAATCAGCAAATTTCTATTACAATAAAAGTATTACCAAAAATGTCCACCATCTGTGTTCAGAATTCATTCTCGGGGGCAAAAATAAAGTTCAGCAACTGCAACTGATTGTTTGTAGAGCTGAAAGCTTCCATGGTTGTGCCCCCCCCCCCCCAATTTA